TGCCGACCGCTGCTCCTATAATTATTACTGCAAAAAATTAAAACTGGAATTAGCCACCTTCAGATCACATTCCTTCAACTCCTACCTATCCTCCCTCTCTTCTCGCGACAATTCCCTTTGGAAAACCACAACCAAAATCCTAAATCCTCACCGCATTTCCCATCCCCTCCGACGAGATGATGGCTCCTGGGCAGCATCTGACGAAGATAAGGCTGAGGAGTTCGCCATTCACCTATCCAATACATTTATTTCACATCCAGAATCCCATCCTGCCCACACCGTAACAGTAGAAGAACTCCTTACATCACCAATCCCACTTTCCTTGCCCCCAAAAGCTATTCATCCTTCCGAAGTGAAATTTCAATTAAAAAAACTAATCCCCGTAAAGCTCCTGGACATGATCTCCTTACCCCTCAAATCCTTCGACAACTTCCATCCAAAGCAGTCATATTCCTTACATATATCTACAATTGTATCCTACGCACCACCCACTTCCCTCTGCTATGGAAACACTCCACTATTATCCTTTTCCCAAAACCAGGCAAACCTCCCAATATCTCAACATCCTATAGACCAATTAGCCTACTCCCAATCCTTTCAAAAATTTTTGAAAAGATCCTTTTGAAACGAATCCTACCCATTATAGAATCCCAAAATATTCCTTCCCATCAGTTTGGTTTTCGCTCCCAACATTCTACTGTTCAACAAGGACTCCGAGTTGTTGATCATATTTCCTCAGCTCTAGAAAACAAGGAATACTGTTCGGGTGCATTTCTGGACATTGCACAGGCATTTGACCGGGTATGGCACTCCGGACTGCTCTTCAAGCTTAAAATCCACTTACCTCAGTCCTTGTACCTAGTCCTCCGATCCTACCTCTCTGACCGCTCCTTCCGAGTTCGCTGTGGAACAGAATTTTCCAATATCTACTCCGTTAAAGCCGGTGTTCCCCAAGGCAGCGTCTTGGGTCCCGTGCTTTACATCCTCTTTACTGCTGACATCCCTGTTCATCCCGATACTTTTCTTGCAACATTCGCTGACGACACCGCAATCTTATCATCCAACTCTGATTCCAACATAGCATCCTTAAATCTCCAAAACCACCTCACCTTGATTGAGCACTGGTGTAATAACTGGCGCATTAAAGTTAATGAATCTAAATGCCAACATATTACCTTTACACTCCGACGCAGTTCCTGTCCACCAGTACACTTTAATTCCATCCAGCTTCCTTACTCAGACACAGTCCGGTATCTTGGTTTTCATTTAGACCGAAGACTAACGTGGAACCCGCATACTAGACTCAAAAGACAAGAACTCAACCGACGATACGGCCAGCTATACAGACTACTAAACAGAAAATCCAAACTTTCTATTGAAAACAAATTACTTATCTACAAGACAATACTGAAACCTATATGGACATACGGACTTGAACTGTGGGGGACAGCAAAAGCTTCTAACATCAAACGTATTCAATCCTTTCAATCTAAAGTCCTTCGAACAATAGTTGATGCTCCGTTCTATGTAAATAACAAAATCCTACACCAAGACCTTAATATCCCTTTTGTCCTAGACCTTATTCCAGAAAAATTCTCCAAATTTCACCAGAACCTTAACTATCATCCAAATCCCCTTGCACAATCTCTATCCAGCACCACCCATCCTTACAATCCTCCTCGAAGGTTGAAGCGGCAGTGGCCCAGAGACCTTCTGTAAATAAGCATCTATTGGAGTTTTGGCAATGGCCAGATCCTCCACTCAAGCCCGAGTGTGTATGATTAGGTTAGTTCTTTTGTTTATATACATTTATTTTATTTTATTGTATTTATTATTATTAAGTTTCTGTATTACTATTATTTTTTTTATTTATTGTAAATAGAGTGTGAGTGTGTTCTCTGAACACTATTACAAATGTCCTTGATGTGACAGAATGTGATATTTCTAAATAAACAAAAATAAAAAATATTTCTTTTAAAAAAAAAAAAAAAAAAAAAAAAAAAAAAAAAAAAAAAAAAAAAAAAAAAAAAAAAAAAACTACTTCATTTGATGTCAAACGATTAACTGAAGTGGTGATTGAATTCCCAACAGTGATACAATTTGAGTAAAATACTTGGTACTCGGTACTCAGAGTAGCATTTGTCCATCTCTGATATTAGAGACAGATCCCACTTTATCAACTAAATGCATACATCACCAAATAATGATAATGTATTACTCTCTATTCCATACCTTGGGAACTTTTTTATCATTAGAGGACGCAGTAAGGTTAGGGCAGTGCTAATACAGGTTGCAATATTTTTTATACTTTACTGTTGCTATTTTTATTTATGGGTAAATACACACACCCTTGTAAATATGCAACTTAACCCTGCTTGGGGCGCGGCTGATCTTTGTCCAGCCGTCTAGGTAGTGTGTCACGTGTGTTTTGATCTGAAAGGCTCACTGCGCACAATTACGCCAGAAATCATAAGTCAGTATCTTTTTCACCTTTGATGAGTAATTCAAGTACTTCTGTATTTTCTTAAACCTGTGGTAGTGCAATTTCTGTCAGGTTGCATTACCTTGCTAGAGTGAGAATGTTGTGCCTGTCAGGATCATCGCACCTCTTTTTTTAGACATTTTTTTTTTTACATTTCCCAATCGTTATTTTAGTATTTCCCTTATTGTTTACATTCTAAAGATCAGTGGAGAATTTAGGATTAATTTAATATGGCATTTTAGGGACGGTATGTTTTTTTCATAGTGTGCCTGGTACGCTTACCGCGCCCTAATATTGAGAATCCTTGACTGCACCTTACGAAGGATTAATTCTAATTATTTTGAAATTTTCTTGTAGATGTTGCAAAAACTAACGGAGGCCGCATGCGATTTCCGAGAACGCTGTTTCTCCAACTACTGACGAGTATATGTTGAACTTTGTACGATTGATTCGCCCTGCTTGCTTTGGCATTCTGTTGAAGTGATTTGTATTAATACTTAAATAGCTTTGTGGATTTAAGTTCTGACGAGGCTTGCATTAACGAAAATTTTATTGCTGTGTAATTAACTTCTCTTTTACGGACACGGATAACATTGTTTCTCTCATTATAGATATTGATTGATTAATTATGTAATGACAGTAACACTACGCTAGGATTACGGTAAATATTTTGTAGGTAAAAGCAATCATAAGCAGCAACTGATGACTTTTAATACGCTTTAATACTTTATGAGAAATATGACCTTTTTTTAGAGAAATAAGATAATCAAAATTCTGTTCACCTCCACCAGTTTTCTTCAAAAGTAAGATGAAGATCGCTCTCTAACAAATTAAGTCTCTCTAAAAAAATTAAGATTCTCTTTAACAATCTTATTGAGATGTTTGAAGTACTTAAATTTTTAAAAAACATAATGTTTTCCATACCATACATGCGATGAACATTTCACCGTTGTTCTGAACTGTGCCCTCTGGGATTGACCGAGGCTCAGTAAACACCGTTGTTTTTTTTTAAACGGATTCGCGTCGTCGGTCCTGACTTTGTGTCAATAGGCTTTTAAATAAAGGTATTTCGAAAGTTGGAGTGCTGTTTTGATTACTCCACCAGCTGAGGACCAACGCTATTGCGATTCCGTTCAGATAGGCCATCACCAACTCAAACTATTTGTTTGGTCCCAGACTTTCTTAGATTAACTTCTGCAGGCGAAGGCACACTCGACAGAAACTTTCGAGCAAACAGAATTTCAATTCCGACTGGAGGGACGGAGGACCTTGAAGATTTGAAAGGGAAATTATTGAGGTAGTCCTCCCCGGTAGAAACCGTAAAGTGAAAAAAAAATTATTCAGTGAGAAATTTTTTTATATTATTTTTAAAAAAATTTCATTTACAAAAATTGTAATTACACACAAGTTATACTCAAATTATGGAAAAGTAGAATAGAAATTTTTATTTGTTTTTTGGGGGTTCCCCATACATATAGAGCCTAGCTTGGCTATTGTAGAATAATATAGTTTTACAAATTACATACATATCATTTAAATATAAATAAACTTTACAATTTTACGTTTATAATGGTTTTTAAAAAGCATGAAAAACAATAAAAATACGGAAAAGTATAGAAAAGTATTACAGCTCAAAATAATTTTTAGAACAATTAGAGTGATTGGAAACAATGTATGACTAGTTTCTATAATCTTGTTTAGCACATAATCACGCAGTATTTGATATAATAACATGGGTGAAAACACAAATGTTTTAGTCAATCTATCATCTACCTCTTCTCTCAAAAAACTAAAAAATACCTAGATATTTCTAGTTGATAAATTAATGGCTAAAAATTAACTACCAGTATAAATAACTTAATGACCACATAAAAAAAGAACCTGAAATTTTAATGAACTTATTAAAATAATTTGTTTAATTACAATAAGCTTTTATTCAAGTAATAGGCTTAATTAATAAGTGAATCATTACGAATGTTTCTATATTTATCTTTATATCTATATTTATATTTTCATTTTTTTTTCTATCCATATTCCCTATTCCTGTTGTCATAAATTATTTTGTTCTAAGTTAAATGTCATTTGATTTACGATTTCTTTACATATTTTACAATTTTAAAGACGACATTGCGGTCTGAACTGAAGCCATTATCAAATATTTTTTGGACTCCATGTCAATATATATATATATATATAAATGAAGTACAATATGAGACATGGTAATGGTGCTAGTATAGGCCCAAAATTCGTCTTTGGAGAATAACTAAAAAAATTTGGCTTTGGCTTTTTACTTAAGAGCAACATTCAATGTTTGTTATCAAAAGTGAAAACATTAGAAACTTGTTATACATATAAAACTTAAATTTGTTAAAACTTTAAATACAAATAAGTTAATTTAATCTATTTTTTACACATTATTCAGACGAATTTTTATTAATTGGAAACAAAGAGATTTTATTTCTCCTTAATTATAGTTTCAGTCATTTATACGGCAAAACCATTTGTAGTGTGTATAATATTAGCCGGATAATACTGAGGTCCCATGAACGACTGTTGCAGTTGAGAGACCAACTACACCGAAACAAACGACCAGCTCCGACCAACCGAAATGAGCGTTGTAATTCATAAGACCCAATAAATGTCGTAGCCTAAAATACAGCGGAAGTCCCTCCGATTCAGCAAATGTTCGGGAAATGGTGGCAACACCGGTACCATTGTCTGCAATCCCGATTATGTGAGACACGTAGAGAACGGAAAACGAATGGCTGCCATTTCCGTATTGTATTATCTTTTAATGTTTTATGGCCTATAAAGTTATTTCGTTCAAATATTTTATATCCGGATCTCTCTCAACAGTCCCTATACAGCCCTTCAATGCTATCAATGTTTACGACCATAACTGTTTTATGGCGGTGAGAAAAGAGAACTGATAAGTTTTGTTTTAATTGAAGAAAAATAATACGATCTGCCACAATCAAGGGCGTTGAGCATTGTGGCTGTATGTTTACATTCATACATTTTATATACAATTTAAAATATAAATTGAGAAAAAAAATAAAATAAGGTGTTAAGTAAAAATGTATGACATAAAAATAAAAGACGAAAACTAGTAAGAAGGAAAAAAAATACATTCAAAGAATATTAAAGAAAGAGAAAAAAAAATACTTGACACACATTTATTCCTATGTACAATATTTACATTCAACCTAGAGAACTCTGAAACATGCCTTGCCGCTCTCATATGAAAGGCAAGACAGGGCTCAAAGAGATCCCAGCGCTTCTCTCCCTGCCGCATCACTGTTTAAAAGCCAGTGGAGACTGAGTAAGAGCGCTAAATCCACATACGCTAAGGGAATTCGTAAAAAAGAAAATTCTTATAAATGTCTATTCTTTTTAGGTATTTCGTACCATTTGAATAAAATCTAATATTCGTGAATGCAGGAACATAGTTTCAATGTTACATATTTAATATTTTTCAGTATTATAATCGGTTTTTATGCCGGTATGTATATATCTTCTTTATTAAATTTTAATTATTATCATTAGTTCGATTCTTATTTAATTTTAATCAATAACAGATTAAAGCTAGAGGACCATAACATTCCTACAACGATATTCCACTTTTAAAAAATGTGATTAATTTTTTTTTTACTTTCGGGCCTTATAAGCTGTTTTAAGACTCGTTTTCTCTTTTTGGCACATGCCAGATATTTATTTGGTTATATACATACATATATATATATATGTACACACACACACACACACACACACACACACACACATATATATATATATATATATATGTATTTAAAAACATTTTTGCGAGAAAATTTATTTAATCGAAATTTAATAAGTTATTCTCAAAACGTTACCTTTTTTTTTTTAGTGCTTTATTCTTTGGAAAATTTATTTTTCTATAAAAAATATCTCACACGACTTTCCTACCTATTTCAGAAAAGTCCTTATATCTTTACATAGTTCATGGAGAAACAAAAAAAAATTGAACTAGATTTATATTCCTGAAAAATGATCAAAAAATAGATTTGAGTACGATTTATTTGATAAACTAAGGCAATGTAAACCGGCTTAAAGTAAATCAGTGTAAAAATTTCATACTCTCTAATATTGCTGATCTAAAACTTTTGACTGTAGCTTAGTATTGTCAAACAATAATTTCTGTTAAAAGTAGAGGAAATAGTGAAGCTTGTGTGATCCGGGCAACAGATTTTCTTACTTTCACTTAGTCATTTTTTTTCTCTCATTCACCCCTTTTTGACACTAGAATATGAACCCGTTATCTTACATTGGAAATTGAATAGCTGTAACTTCGTTAATAGTTGTCCAAAATGAACGATTTTCATATAGTTTTGTAGGGAATTTCATCACCTTTCAAAAAACAGGATAAGCGTATCGGAAATTTGACCCGATTGCAATACTTTCCATACCTAGTATAGTATAGTAAACTAAAATGCACCTTACAAATTGCCAAATTTAGTTTAAATTAAAATACTCTTAAATTCTCTTTAGATGTCCATTGTGAATACTTATTCATGTGTTCAGAATATAAAAGAAAAATTATCTAATAACCTTTTTAAAACTTCTGTATGATTTCAATTAATATTTCGTGAGTCAGTTTTCTGTGAAGTAAGATTTTCTTTCATTTAAATTACTCCAAACAATACAATTTTGTCCCCCAAAAGTATCCTAATTGATTAATATCTTTAATAAAAATATGTTGTTTTCTTTTTTTGATAATTTAATAATACGTGACGCCACAGAAATGAATTCAGCATACCTCAGTTGATGGCAGCTTGTACAACCAAATTAAAATTATTGTAATTATTTAAATAATTTAAGTGTTATATAAATTCTGAAAATTATTCTTTTGTAATGCTTACCGCTATTAGTGCGACTCTGAAAGAAATATGAGCAGCATAAAACTCCAAGGCTAGAATCCCCAGTTCACGTGAAAGCCATGTCAACATCTCAATGCCAAGTCCCAAATTATGGAGGTTAAAAGTGACGATTCCCATCGTTATGGATGCTCCAGGATCTTCTCCAGCCGGAACCACTAGGCATTGCCGTATAATGGCCACCGCCCTTTTATATTGTTACTCGTCCTCATCGTTTATTCAGAGCATCGAGGCAAACACGTCTATAAGCCTCAAGCTCTGGTCATAAAATAAAAGAAGGCAATACAAAAGATATTTTCCCGTCCCGGGAAGAATATTTCACGTTGTTGGAATGTCACGGAGTTTAATAAAGGGCATCTTTCACATCCAGGCTCCATCATTTACATTTGAATGCTGAATCCGCACAAACGTATAAATAATACGTAAATGAGTTTAATTACTACTTCTATAACGAATTTTTTGTCTTTATTGGCTTTATGGGCAACGTGGTATACCTTATGTTCAACAAGATGCTCAGCGTCCACATGTGTTCACGAATTATATACGTTGCAATGCGGAGGATTCAACTCCTGTTCAATGCAGATATCTCCTGAGGCAGTCGTGGTCTGTTATCACTGCCACAATTCCCTTTCTCGGTTCATGGGAACTCGATCGGCTTCATTAAACAATTAAAAAACAATGCTCTTTACGGATTCCAGTATACTATAGTGAAAATGAAACTCTATTAAATGTGCTTTGAAGCTTCTAGGGGAAAAATGGATAGAATAGTTTGTATGATTCTCTTATATAATCATTTAAATGTTGAAAACTATGTTTCTTCAGCAATAATATTTTTTTAAACACACACACACACATATATATTTGTATATATAAATTTCATGACCTATTATCCGACTATAATTCATATCTTTAGTTATAATATATAAAAATCGAATTATAAAAAAAACATTGTAATATTATATATATATATATCCCCTAAGGATCTTAAATAAATTATATAAATCATTTAGAACTGTAATTTAGTGAAATATAGAGACTTCATTGTTCTCAAATTTTTCCATAACTGTAATTATTCTAGAATGAAAAGAAGAAAAAAAACACAAATGAAATAATATAGAAGAGGTTTTTGACGGACAAAAAAAAATAGTTATAGAAACTTAGATGCTTTTAGAGATAAATATTTTCATTCATCCATTAGCTGTGTAAGCGTTATAATTTAAAAATAATATATTGTGATTGTTGAAATATTTAGCATAGATTGCACACAAGAGCAAATATGGACCAATGAAAAAATATAATACTTTTTCATTTTGAGGAGGCCTTAACCGAAAATTATTAGACAATTTTTTCATAAAATAATTTCTAAACACTAAAATTACCAGCAACCACAATCCACTTTAACTGTTAAGGTATTATTACTAAATTATGTAAAAGAAAAGCGAAGTATTTTTTATTTAAAGTTGTTAAAAATTACGGATCACGTTACTCAACACTAAATAAATGGTGAGTTATGTGTTGTATGAAACTAAGATTTTCTAGTTCCCTACTCAGCATTATAGATTACTTAAACAATTAATTACGTTATTTTTTATTGTCTCAATTCCTTAATAAACAGAAAATATGTTAATGATTTCGAAATTTTATAAAATCTTACTAACACCATTTAAGTTTGCTTGAATAGGGATGTATATAAATAAATATAAGCAAAGTAAAATTAATATTTTAACGAAAAAGTAACTAAATAAATTCCTAATGTATTTTTATTAATTATTGGTGGAAAATAACTAATTGGTAAATTTTAGTATAAAAACAACATTAATTTAGCTAAAGAGGAATAAAAGCAGAATAAAACGGAAATAGATGTTAAATGCAAAGCTTGAATAAAATATCTATTTATCACTGAATGTATTGTCCAGAAAAACGCGGAAAATAGAGGTAATTATTTTTAAAGTTTTTATTAGTTTGGTCAGAGTATTATAATTTTAATTTAATACTTGAGACGTATAAATACATAATTACAAAATATTAATCGTGGCTTAAATCAAAATATATCAAAGCCTTAATTATATATCCTGGTGAATTTATATTGGAAAACGTAAACATGGTGGTCCGATGTTTTGTGGTTTTTCCTTTGAATTTATTAGGGTAGCAGCAGATGGTAGTGTACTTTATCTTATAAAACAAGTATAATATAAGTTTATTGCTTTTGATAAAATATTTTATAAAGTATTTATTAAACATTCTTTAGCATTTCTGTTATAAATTTATTACGCAATTGGTTTAGTTTTTAATTATAAAAAAAACAAAATAGCATCTGGAAATCTGGACACGAAACAAAATTAAATATAATTTACGGAAGAATAAAAGGTAATTGAATAACTTCACTCACAATATATCGAATACTTCAGGATGTTGATTTTAAGAGAAAATACCAGATTTAACACACTAAAACTAAGAAAATATGACATTTTTTACATGAACATAAAACATTTTAATAATAATCATCACGATTGAATATTGTGGTATGGCAGTGGTTGAATAAAATTGATATTTATATTTCAACTGTTAATACCAAAGGAAAAATGCCTTAAACATTTATTCGTACATTTTCAATTTTGAACTACTTTATATCAATTTCCAACATTGATAGGGTGAAAACTAAAAATAATAATTTAGTTTACGCCAACAAAAATTTCATAGTTATTGTCATCTATAATATTATATATTTTCTTATGATTAGGATGAATATAAAAATGAAATAAAAAACAAGCTATGAAAGATGATAATGTCTATATATTTTTACAAAAGAAAATGTATTCTATGCCGAATGCTCACTACAATAGGAGCCATATCCATAATTCAACGAAACCACAATTCTTTGGATATATTTCCCCATATTTTCTGCATACAGAAGTTTATCTTATAAACTTTTAACCTCCGGTTAAGAGCATAGTAAGTTGTGTCTCAAAATTATTTTTTTTTCTTTTTTTTTTATGAATTTTCGTTAAGTTATCTCTAGACAATTGTTTACAATTTTAAAAACGAAAAGATTAATATTAAAAATCAAAAGGAATATCTTTTTCTCAACAAATAAACTTATGCTATAACAGGCTAGATACTATAAGTTCTGATTGAAATTATTTTTCATTTTTATTTTTCTATTATTTTTTTTTTAAATTGCCGGTATCGAAAATTAGTTTTTAACGTGCCTATTCCTAATTCTTGCGCACCGAATTTTATTCGCAATAGAGAGAAAATATATAAAAAATATGTTATTAGTAACATTATTTTTATAAATTAATTATTGAAATGTAAAATATTTAAATCCTCCGAGCAGAAAATCGAGCTCGGTTCATTTTTAGAAGAGCTTTTTATTGAAATTCAAACGAACAGCGCAGCTTCTCCATGTCAAAAACTATATCACGCGGAAATTATGAAAGCTGATAAAACTATCTCAAAATTATAATGTCCCATTCCACCCCCTGTTGTTTGTTTCAGTCCCTCTGTAAAATAAATTCTATTTTTAAACCACAAATAAAATCCTTCTATATTGGCAATTATGTATCCAATGGAAATGGCGAGGAAGTTGTACTGACGTTATTTGGCAGACTCGTTATTAGTTTTATCATTCTGAGAAACACATTTGTGATTCACCATCATCGTTATTATTTCCACCGCCAATTAGTGAGACTTTCCTCATTGGTGTATGTGTCTGCAGTACCAGACCCGAAATGAAGATTTTCAAAAAAATGTCTATATTACTTGACTGAGCTGATTGTATTTAGCTTGCAATGTTTATTCTACGAGTTTAACCAAGTCAACATTCCATAGAATACAATAAGAATTGATTACGCCTACCCCAGGTTCAATAAAAAAGAAGGGATAGCATCACTTTATGAATTGTTGCTGTGTTGCGTAAAATATGATATGTCTGTGCGGGGTGAAGTATGCTGTGTTAGTGATGGGTAAAGTATGTTGTGGTAGTGATGGGTGAAGTATGCTTGGTCGTACTTTTAATTGTGATTAAAACGTATAGGATGGATGATGATGTTCTTGTAACGTACCTAATTTTTAAAAGCTATAATTTAGCTTTAGTCATCAAAATGTAAGTTGAAGTATATTCAATATAAATAAAAATTACACAATTGCTCTAATGAATTTTAAGTACAAAATAAGATTTCTGTATAAAATCTTAACGCCATAAAAAAAAAAAAAAAAAAAACTGCTGCATTTCAGTATTATTGTATATTTAAATAATTGTGACCAAATAATATAAAACTTCTAAAAATATTAAGAATGAATCATGATGATAGAAATAGACAAATAACTTTATTCTGGGACAAATTCCCTTAAGAATAAAAGAATTTTACAGAAAAAAAAAAAGCTGCAAATTACTTCACAACGGTTTATTATTTCCAAACAATTATACATCTAAAGTTACATTACCTTCCTAGTGACAAAGAAAAATAAATAAAAAGTGATTCCAATTATTGGACTAAACATTGTTTTTTTTAACCATTAGTAATATGCAAGACAAATTAACATTACTACAGTAACACATTAAAAAATCAAAAATCAAAACAAAGGATATAACCTTTGCAGTAGAACATATTAAAAACATCTAGAGACCATATCTTTGCTCCTAATAGTCCGATTTTAACGATTTTTTTTTTTTTTTTATTTTTTTTTAATTTCGACAATATCAACAAAAAAGTATACTTTTTGAATTATTCGGAATCTAATTTTACCATCCCTCGTAACATTTTTTCCAGCTTCTTTTCGTTGAAGTATGTTATTTAGATAAATTTAAAAGGCATCGATAAAAAGATTTTAGCGAAGTTTCATTGAAATAGGTACATTCGTCCAGGCGCTACAGTCTATAGCAACGCAGGTTTTTCGGTCGCCATCTTGAGAGGAAAAGGAGGATAGAAATGTCGATGAAGGAGGACGATCCTCGGGTGACCTCTCATTTTAAATCCAAATTTGAAAAAAAATCGGTCCAGTAGTTTCGGAGAAAATATTTGTATTTGTTTTTTTCGAAATCTACGTATCCTGAAATGTGAAATCTCAAATTTTGAGATGAGGTTTAAGTTTTTTGAATTATTTGTTCGATTAAAATGGTCAATTTGAATATAATATACCAAAACTTTAGAATCGTTTGGAAATGAAGTAAAATTCGCTCATGTCAACGAGTTAAAAGTAGGAAAAATAAAAATCTTACGGAAAACATCTGATTATTACTGACTATATTCAATGCAAGGGAATCCTCTATTTACAACTACAACTAATCGACTAGAAATCCAGGGTTCACTAATTGCAGAACTAATCCTAACTGTCTACCGCCCACAGCTGTCAGCCTTTCTCAACTTTACGACAGTCGAGATTGGTGTTGGTTTAAGTTACACTGTCCACTATCATCGACAGTTAGTTAGTCCAGTTGTATACGCATACTAATCATCACAAACACATCATAATGCATGTTTGTGTTCTATTTATATGCGAAATGTTGATCTAATATATTTGTTCTGATATTCAATCAATATTATTCCAACCATATATACATAATTGGCGCATCAACTCAACAGTTTGAACATTCTCCAATATTATATCGAAACAATATTGTCATGTATTGCTTATTATGAATTTAAAATTATACCATTCTGTTTGGATGTGTTTCTTTTTTTTTTAATTTTAATACCTAAAAAATATTTCTATTATTTGTTTAAATAAATGATTAAATTATAAATTAGTTTGATTTTTGTTTTCATTGGACTGAACTAATTATTATTGGTCGGCAAAAATGAAGTTATAGTATTTTTTTTATTTTTTATTTTTCCTGGGAAGTTGTATGATATTCTCAGTTATATGGCAATCATTACTTCGAATGATTACTATGAAGTTATAGTCGAATTTAATTTAAACAATGTAGCATATTGAAGTTTCAAAGGTGATATTCAATTCTAATTCGGAAACAAGAAAATTTATGATTTAATAGCTGTTGAAAATCTATTCTTTATTCAGTTGTTATTTAAAATTTAACAACTGATAAAAAAAAGTAATAGTTAAACAATTTCAAATTGTTAGTCTTTTCTAACAGATCGCAATGAAAAATCTGTAATCACTACTATATTTAAAAAAAAGAAAGTGTTTTCTCAGAATTTTATTTCGACATCAATGAATCGTTTATCAAAAGAGGGTCGATCCACATTGCACAATTTTTAGGAAAGCTTAAGATAAGAGCCTAAAAAAATTTATAAATTGTTTTTTTCGTCACAAACCTAATTTTATTCTAAATATTATTTACTACAAAATATTGATATTATATCATAATAAATGGACTAAGATAAATTTTTTATCCAAGTATATAAAAGTAGCATTTTTTGATTTAAAACTGTAAGTAAATTAAAACATCAAATTTTATTTTTATTTCTTTTTTTAAACTTTTATTTTCCATTTAATAACACCTTTCACGTGTGATTGCAACAGATATTGTTCTTTTCTGTTGGAAAAAAAAAGCTAATCTCATTTAAAACCGCTTTTAACTGTTTTGGAGTAGTTCGGTTATATTAAATAGTGTCTATTTTCTTATAAGTATTATTTTTCCCTTTTATTTTATATATATATATATGGTGTTATTGTGTTTATATATCACAATAATTATTGTCCACGTGATTATTATATTTTTAAATAAATTTTAAAAAACCCATATCATTAATTTAAATATAGCCCATTTAATTTTATTATTATTTTTTTTAATAGAACTATAAATGTTGATGTTTTATATTTGTAATTTATTATCTTTATTACTTCATTTAAAAATTATATGGTTTTTAACACGAAAGGGTCATGGGCTACTTATTTTCTAAGCGGTTTAAGTAACCGTTGAGCTACAATTATATGGAATAAACATTTTTATTATTTCTTAAAAAATAAAGAAAAATTGTTGCGTTTTGCGCCAATTTATCTATCACTTTACATTGAAATTTATTTGTTTGACTAATTGTTAGTGCCCTTTTATTCTGGGACATTTAGACCTCAAAGAATAACCAAAATGTATAGTATTAAATAAAATTATAGTTTTAATTTATAATGTAAGGTATATTATGAAAAAAATTACATCATTATTAATGCAATAATATCTATAAATTATTATATTCTTAAACGAAATATTAATTCCGTACGCCTTAATCCTTTGTAGAAAAGTAAAATGGATGATTCTAATTCGAGAACACATTTACATTAATTAGGAAAGATTAAGTATCATAATCTGCTCATTAGAAGGAGAGGAATTATTGCTTGAAGCAGTCTTTTACGGTTGAGATTAGAGAATTACTGGGGCTTAGAGAGGTCTTCAAAATCCGGCTGTCTTTCAAGTCTTTATCGTATCTATTCCAGGCATCTTTTTAAGTTGTGTTAATTTATTTATTTATAAATATACATTAAAACAAATTACCTATAATGTTTCATTTAGTACCTCTAGGGAATTTATAATGCGTTCAAATATAGAAAAAAAAATCTGGTGCTCGCAGCACACAACTTTCACTTACCGCTCTACTTTGAATAGAATTAATTTTCTGGCAATATCGGACAATTATAAAATTTTAAACTGAAGCTTAAAGCTTACGCATAACAGATCATTAAGACCATCAAAATAACAAAAGCTCTATTTGTTATATCCACAGAAGGCTATAAAAATCTAGACACTCCATTTGCTTTTAAGAATCACATAAATACACCATCTGAGCTATTTCTGCCTTTTAGTTGACAGAATGACTAATCAATTTCAACGTTGTATAGTAATGTCATTTTAGTGATATTTCTGGTTGGAAAAGTTGTATCTACACAGACAGTGAGTAAGTTGATTCCAGAGTAGGTGATTGTAGTGTTAAAATATAGAACTTTGAATAAATATCTAAATTTTCCCAATAGAAATACAAATACAATTAATAATAAAGAAATTGGAGTTAGTCATTATGTGAATTGAAAGGCTCATTATACGCCTAGAGAGATTTGAAAGTACATCTGAATATTTCATCGTAAAAAAGATTATGGATTGTAGGACTTTCAAAAGTTATATTCAGCATTTTTTCGCAACTCCTATTAATTTATGCTTATCTTTACGTCAGAATTTTTTTAAAAATCTTAAAAAGTTATCTTATGTCAGAAATTATTTTCAGAAATTTTCCAATTAGTATCCTGTTTTTATAATTAACGGTATGATAGTTAGGACATTTTTTCTTATGTATTAAAGTTTAGAGATTTATATTGGTGTCAAAGTTGCAACCCAAACATGTGGGTCAACATTAGGCCTCTGTTCTAGTGTTAACACTAGATACTAAATTACTGCATCCTGACTATTTCTCGTCTATGATGTGTAGAGCTGTCGACTAATTTCCTTCAATGATTCATTGAGTGTATTACCGATCCAAGCATCAAGAGGATTGCAAAAACATAACATTTATGAAGACCAGAAAGAAGAAAGTTAGATTTTTTAAATATAGTTCTATTTACTACAGACCATTCGTCACTAAATCATCCATTTTTTTTTACCCGCATACACCTATGTGATCTTATTTGTTTTATCCTGATGATGCCTGAATTTGAAAATTTTGACGGCTATATATCACAATTTCTTTATATCTGTTTTTGAGAAATTGGTTATTTTATTTTAATGCTTGATTAAATTTTTTTTTTTTTATTTTACATTGAATGCTCTAATAATTATTATTTTGCCCGTACAGATCATAGCCCTAAAAGACAATGACAGCTTGGCGGCCATGTTAGCAGCAGAAGTTGAGGCAGATCTACTTATCCTCATGTCCGACGTGGACGGAATCTACACCAAACCCCCGTCTCAAGAAGGAGCCAGGCTGATACCCACTTTTACACCGGACATGATGAAGACTATTACCTTTGGTAAGAAGAGCAAAGTTGGAACTGGAGGAATGGATTCCAAGGTACGTCCAAGGAAAGATTTTTATTTAAAATAATTACAATACTGACCGCTTCTATTAGTGCAAAAGGTCGTATATAAAAAAAAAAATTATTTGTTTTTTTTTAAGAAGAGCGTAAAAATCGATCATTTTTATATGATTTATTAGTATGATTTCATATTTTATTTCCCTCTGCTACTTCCCTATTTAGCAGACTACTTATAGCAGTTACAGACTACAAAATTAAACGTGTTGCTCAAGGAAAATATACATGTAAAAAAGTTACATACGATCTTTTTGCACAAACAGCAGCGTTAATATTTATTAATAATTTAATAAAGATTTTCAATTAAATTAGGTTCTCGAAAAAACTGTATCGCTACTAACAATATTTATTTTATAATTCTATTAGTTGATAAATGTCCTCACACCTCGTCAAAAATAACATGGCATATATTTTTGGTATAATTAGTTACTTATTTACTCAATATACTACGTCCACTACATCCTAGAAATCTCTATTGTCTTTCCCAGTTACAATTCGGTTGTATCCCTTGTACCGATGTCCTTTTTTTTTTTTTTTTTTTTAATGTAGTTTTCACTATGTAATAACTATAATTTTCTAAATTTATCGAGTTTATCAATATGATTATTATCATAGTTTAACCCATCTCTTCAAAACAACTACCCAGACCCTACCTCTTATTGGGTGACTTCAACGCTAATGATATAGCCTGGGGCTCAAAATTAGCTGATTTTGGACATAGGGGTAAAAAAATAAAAAGCGTTTTAGAGAATAACCCGATAATCACTCTCCTGAACACGGGGGAAGACACACATTTTTGCTCGAAAAGCAATACGTTTTCCTCAATCGATCTCACTTTCGCTGATGTTGGGCTGGCACCGAAAATTAGATGGAAAACGAAGCAACACCTTTACGGAAGCGATCACTTCCCAATTCTCCTAACGATGAGATGTGAGATATCTCAAAGGAAGAACCGTCATTGGCAGTACCGGAAGGCTGATTGGACAGCGTTCCAAGAAAAAGTAAAAAACTACTTTGAAGAAGTATATGAAGATCAAAACAATATTGATCTTAATATTAGCAGTTTTAACCAAGCAATACTAGAGGCTGCTCATGAAACAATTCCATTTGTGTCAAAAATATCGACTCGCACAACAGTCCCCTGGTGGAATAAAAATTGTCAAGAAGCTGTTAAATCCAAGAAACGTGTCTCAATAAGTACAGAAAAAGCAGAACTCTACGCGATGCTATAGAGTTTAAAAGATTAAGAGCCATAGCAAATAGGACAATCAAAGAGAGTAAAAAGGCATCGTGGAGGGATTTTGTTTCTTCAATAAACCATTATACTTCAACAAAGAAACTATGGAATAAAATTAGAAGCATAAGGGGAATTCCTAATCCGACAAAGCTATCTGGTATAAGGATTGGCCAAAGAATAATTACTGCTACAGACGAAATTGCTTAAGAACTAGCAAAACATTTCCATCAGGTATCCTCCACTAACATTCAAGGACTGTCGAATTGGGAAGATGAACCAAACGAATGCCACGGAGATGAGAGTAACTATAATACTCCATTTGGGAAACAAGAAGTGGAATATATACTCCAAAAGCATCCAAAAGGGTCAGCAGTGGGCAGCGACGGCATATCCTATGAAATGATATATAACTTGCCTGATAAAGGAAAACAGGTCCTGCTGCAATTGTATAACCAAGTTTGGGATCGCGGTTATCTCCCGCAGATTTGGAGACACTCACTAATCATACCAATACCGAAGAATGAAAAAAACTCCCTTGTATCAAACTTTCGTCCGATCTCACTCCTTTCATGTGTAAGAAAAATTCAAGAAAAGTTAGTAAACCAGAGACTTGCTGAAATAATAAAACAGAGAAAACTCCTCACGCCGAACCAATTTGGTTTTAGAGAACACCATTCCACTATGGACCCAATACAAATACTAAAATGGGACGCGGAAGAAGCTTTTCAAAGGAAACAACATCTCATTGCTATATTCTTAGATATTGAAAAAGATTATGATACCATGTGGAGATGGCGAGTCTTGGACGTGCTAAGAAGATGGAATATTGAAGGGAAGATGTGGGAATACATTAAGGATTTTCTCAAGCATAGAACATTCACTGTTAGGGTTGGTTCTTCAGAATCTACAGTATACACGACGGAGAATGGTACTCCCTAAGGCTCCCCACTCAGTGCAACCCTTTTCCAGGTCGCGATAAACGACATAGCAGGGGTTTTTGTTAGACCAGCAAAACTTATTATGTACGCAGACGACATATTGCTCTATGTACAAAGCAAATCCATTAAATTTATAGAATGGAAAATCCAAGAAGCCCTTGACAACATAGAATCATGGTCGACAGAGAGTGGTTTCAAACTGTCAGCTAACAAAACCAGAGCCATGCACTTTTGCAGGCTAAGAGGTTGTACATTCAATCCAAGAATACAGATGAAAGGTGTCGGAATCACATTTGTTGATAATCTGAAATATCTAGGGATGCACTTGGATCGACCGCTTCGATGGACACTGCACATAAAAATACTTAAAGAACAGTGTCTGAAAAGGATCGCCCTCCTCAAAAGTCTATCCCATACGAACTGGGGAGCGGATAGGAAAAGCCTCTTAAATATATATTGCACAACCATCAAAAGCAAACTAGATTATGGCTCAAGTGTTTACGGTACAGCATCAAAGAAAACTTTAATGATGTTAGATGTTGTACACAATTGTGCTTTAAGAATTTGCACTGGAGCATTGGCAACCTCACCAGTAGAAAGCCTGTATGTTGAAGCAGATGAACCTCCTCTCTATCTGAGAAGGTTGTATCTAACCCTAAAGTACGGTCTCAAAATTAAGACACGCCCAAAACATACATTAAATAAAATACTGTTTCAGGAAGAATCAGATAACAGCTGGGGAAAGCATTTCGTAGAAACATTTCTTGAAAATGCCACAGAATCAAAGTTAGAATCTCTTTTGGACGTGCCAGACATTATTATCCCCCCTTGGATCCATACCTCGCCAGTTATAGAGAAATCGATGGCTGGCTCTCGAAAAGATACGCTGCTTCCTATCGAAGCACAAACCCTATTTCTGGAAATAATGGAGAAGCATAAAAAATGTAATATCATTTATACTGATGCTTCAAAAGTAAACGACGAAATAGGATGTGCTATTGTCAACTCTCAAACAGAAAAGTACTTCAAACTTCCGGAGATCTGCTCTGTATTTAGTGGAGAGATGATCGCTATTAGAGAAGCTTTGACTTACATTGATTCAACGGAGAGTAACAAATGGGTCGTGGTAACTGATTCAAAGAGCGCAATCCTGGCCATTGAAAAGAGAACACCAACAACTACACTGGCAAGATCTATTAAAAATATCTGTTGGAAACTGACAGAAAAGGGAAAGGAAATAGTATTCATGTGGGTTCCTTCACACTGCGGAATTGTCGGAAATAAACAATCAGACAAAGCAGCAAATATGGCGAGAAGGCTAGATACAAATCCAACAGTTATAATCAAAGAAATCCCGATAGAAGATTTCATACATCATATAAAAAAAAAATTGCGGGTAATGTGGCAGAACGTATGGCAACAAATTGAAACCAAATTAAAAGGAATAAAAAGCCACTGTTCCAAATGGAAAACTAGCAACCGACTCTCTAGAAAAGAAGAGACAGTCCTCTGCCGCTTACGAATTGGGCATTGCGAATTTTCACATGCCTACTTACTAAGAGGACTAGACCCTGTAAGGTCCCGTACCTGCGAGAGCTGTAAGGTGCAAAGAACTGTCCAACACATCATTCAAGACTGCCCAGTATTTGAGAATGTAAGGAAAAATCTCAATATGGCTCAGAGCCTAAAAGAAAACCTCAGCGACAACGAAAACGCCGTGGAAAAAACATTACAGTATTTTAAAAAAATAAAATTCTACAATAGAATATAAATAGGAAGTGTTGCCAATGACCCTGCAGGGTAGAGGCAACAATAAAAAACAAATAAATAAATAATTTGGATGGATATATAGAAATCCTGAAATGTTACTGAAGCTGCAACAATTTCAATCAAAAGCACATACAATCAGACTATTTTGCATTAAAGCCCCAAAGATTACATATATGTATATAATGACTAATTATGACTATAATATAATATTATAAATATTGTAACTATTCCTGTCCTAAACTACCACTCATATTTAAATTTTTATGAAGAGAAATCATTAGATGACTTTTAACTTCATGAGATTATTTTCCATCGTACAGAAAATTCACTTTTAACACATTTTTTACAATAGTGAATCGCATAAATATATTTAAAAATCCAATGAATATTTTGAAAAGAAGATTTGTAATTAAAAAAAAAAAAAAAAAAACCTGTACCACTACAACTCATGAAAGGTCTGGGGTTCAATACTATTTAGGGAAAGCACTGTTTCTAGGTCAACGGTTGTGCAAGGAGATGATTTGACCGAGATCACACACAACCGCCAGGTTTTCCCTCTTAATCAATTATTTAATTAAGGGTGCCCAATTTATAGAGGCTGGGTGTGCCCCAGGAGGGTTCTCTCGACACAGGATCGCCCCACGGCCCATAAAACAGATAAATAAAATTTTCTGCCATGAGCCGTGGTTCGAACCTAGGTCCTTTGCATTGGAAGCTCAGTGCCCTACCACTGAGCTACCCCACTCCCTATTACTAATTAATAATGACTTTAAAAAAACAAAACAAATATACAAGAGGTAGTATACATGGATAGTAATAGGTAATAGAAAAATAAAGGTACATCAAAAGATAGGATTTTAAAAGAGATTAATATAATAATTAAGTAAAAATTATTTATATACCTATTTTTTTTTATTCAGAAATATTACAATCTGTCACAATTGAGGACATTTATAATAGTGTTTTAGAGAGCACATTTATACTCTATTTACAATAAATAAAAATAAATAATACAGAAACTAATAATAATAAA